TGGAAACTACAGAATAATATCACTGATTCCACATCAAGCAAGATTCTACTGAAGACTATACAAAAATGACTAGAATACCACATTAGCAGAGAACTGCCAGAAGGTAATTTAGAAGTACCAAAATATAAAAGTTTAATGGTCTTAAAAATATAAATTTTAATCATCTTTAAAATATAAAATTTAATGGCATCTATTTCTGGTGGTCAAAATCTCCAACTCTGGGTTTAAATATAAAATAACCACTATTTTTAAAACCTACACTGAACTCGATTGATCATTCACTGAAATGGCAGTCAAGATTAAAATATTCTCTCTTGATCACTTGCCAGACATCAAGGTTTGAGTCTTACCTTTATTTCCAATGTACCACCAAAGCCCATCTTAAATTGTCCATGCATATCTTTAGTAAAGACTCTTTGAAAAGTTTGCTTGAATAAGGAAGTGTTGAAAGAATCACCCATTACCATGTACCCTCTAAATGGAAAGAACAAAAAATAAAGTAGGTGAAAAAGGTACATGTGTAAAAACAGAAAATTAAATTACCATCAAATTCTGAAGATAAAAATTCAATCTAAGTTTAATTGATTGCTTCTGCATTTTAATATACTTCCCCTAAAAAAGAGACTTAACATCTTCCTCCCCAACAAATAAGAATATAAAGATCATGCAAATAAAAAGTTATCTTAAATCAGATAAAACCATTTTAAATATAAAAACTGAGATAAAGACATGTGACGGTCAATTTTATGTCAACAGGAGTAGGTTGTAATGCACACTTGGTAGGTCAAACACTAGTCTGGTGTATATAGGTATACTATAGAGGTATTTTGTCAATGTCATTTCATTATCATTTAGCTGACTTTAAGTAAAAGACAGTATCCTCAAACAATGTAGGTGAGCTTCACTTGAAGGCCTTCAGAGGAAACTCTATGGTTTTCCTTTTCTAGATATATAAGAGAAACCAATATCCAGAGAAAAATTTATACATAAATGTTCAAAAGCAACATTATTCACAATAGTAAAAAAGGTAAAGTGCAAATATCCATAAAACAATGGATAAAACAGAAAGTAATGTTATCCATACAATGCAATGTTCTTGAATGACATTGGATCCTTTACTCATTTTTTATGAAGAAATTGATTATTTTATCAAGGAACCTTGGAAACATTATATAGAGTGAAAGAAAACTCAAAGTAGCTCAGCCATGAAATGGGAACCTACTCAGAGCTGATCCTCCTGCAGGCTTACAGAGGCTGTAACTCACACGGGAGAAGATTGCTCATCTTTCTCCAGAGGAGCCACTAGTGGATTTGAATTCCTGGGGAAGCACCACCTTTGGGTTAGCAGAGCAACTTCCTATGGACTACACCACCATGAGTGAAAGAAGACAAGAAAATAAATACCGTATGATTCCATTTATATGAAATACCAAGAACAGGTATGTCTAGACAAAAAGAGTTCAGTACCTGCCTACAGTGGATGTGGGGCTAGTGGGAAGAGGGACTGCTAATCATTACAAAATGTCTTTCTTGGGAAAAGAAACTGCACTAAAATTAAATTACAGTGATGACAACTGGTTTCCTTTCACCTGGAACAACAGAGGAAGCTGAAGAATCAGGCATAGGAAAATACACAGTAAGTGGATAACTGACTCCATGTGTCCTTTGTCATGAGACCTGAACTGCATGGTGTCAGCTGTTACCGAATATTTTATTCAAAGATTTCTTAAGAGGAATTCCAATTAAGAAGGCAAAAATTCAGAAAAGAACTTCAAATTATCATAGAATACAAACTTCCTAGGACCATAAAGATTGGCTGAATTCTTGACATTACTGTCCTGAAATAATCTTTAAATCTTAAGCCAAAACTCTCCACAGAAGTCTTCTTAAAATCAAACAAGAATACGGTATATCTAGTAAAGAATATTCTGTTCTGAAGTATTCTGTTCTTTTAAGATCAATATTGTATTAATTCAAATTATTAGATAGGAACTGTAGGGGGAGTGAGTCTGTTTAAAGGAGAGAAACAATTCAGAAACAATAGGCAAGAATGACTGTATAACTCAAAGAATGTAATTATGAAATATACATAAATGGTTGAGTTGTTTCTATATTCTCAGTTACAACTAAATAATGAAAATTTTAAAAGAATCACAGTGATTCTTTTGAAATATTAAGAGCTCATGGAACTGTACCATTTAAATGGATGATATGTGAATTGCATTTCAATAAAGTTGATAAAAAAGAAATTTGAGGGCAAGGTAATTATCTTTTCCAGATTTTATGAGAAAGATTAAAGTGAATTGTACTGAATATTAAAAAAAAAAAAAACCAAAAAAAACCCCACCCTGACAATAGCTGTTGCCTAAAGATGACAGATAATGACTGATTTCCCCCTCAAACTGTTAATATTGTTTACTGCATAATTTATAATTAAAATTATTTAAATACATACCCAGTAAGGTTGGGGCAGCATTTCATTTCCAGGAGGCCTGTCTGATCTAATGCACATGCATAGATATCAATAACATGACCAGTTGTAGCAGCTCTATTAGCCAATGCTTCAAAATGCTACAAAAGATTTTTAAAAATCAAATTAAAATACCACATAAACTTAATCATCCTACAAAATGTTTTCTATTAAAATATCTAAATCATCAGGGAATGAAATAAAAATCTATTTTAAATATTATTCTCATTTCATGTAATAGCTAACAAAACAGCCTAAGTAAGTCTAAGATTTTCATGTTCTTTTCTTTAAAAGCCATTCTTTCGGTGCAACCACTGTGGAAGGCAGTATGGCGCTTTCTCAAAAGTGGCAAATTGAGATACAATTTGATCCAGCAATTCCAATACTGGGAATATACCCCAAAAAGACCATAACTGACATCCAAGCAGATATATGCACACCCATGTTTATCGCGGCTTTGTTCACAATAGCAAAGAGTTGGAGACAGCCTAAGTGCCCATCAACAAACAAATGGATAGAGAAGCTGTGGTATATTCACACAATGGAATACTATGCTGCATTGAAAAACAAGGAACTCATGCAATATTATTCAAATGGGTGAGCCGGGAGGACATTATGCTGAGTGAAGTATCCCAGTCACAAAAGGACAAATACTGCATGGTGCCACTGTTGTAAGACAGGACTGACATTGGGGTTGGGGGGAGACTGAGAAAGATGGGTTCAATAATGTATATTACATTGAAACAGTTGAGGGAGAAAACTGTTTAAAAGGGAAATGTGATTAGCTATTTGTGTCATGACAGGAGTCCAAAGCAAAGGCTGCATAGTGGAGTGGACCTAGGGGGAGGGATTATAAAACAATGAAAAAATTTTTCTTTTACTTTTCTAAGAGGGTAGTGTACTACAGGGGAGGGTTGGGAGGGGAGAAAAGTGCAACAATGAATGAAATCCAAAGTCTCAGTAAATTTTCATTGAAATTAATAATAAATTAAAAAAGAAAATAAAAAGCCTTTCTTTCTAACAGATTAATTAAGTAAACTTGAAGAACAATGACAGATTGAGTATCACCCTGAAGGTGTAAAAACATAATAGAATAACAAATAACACACAGATCTTTCACTTGGCTCAACTAACAAGGAAAACATCTGAAAACAGAATGACAATTAAAAAATTTAGTGAAAACTTAGTTGGCAGGAAAAAGCAGTCTCACAGTAATGGAGTATCTGTCCTTAACTACTTTTTAAAAAAGGTAAATAAGGGAGCTCTGTGGCCTAGGGGCAAGGAGCTGCACTGCAATCCCAGAGGTAGGTGGTCTGAATCTACCAGATCATCTGTCAGAGAAGGAGGGGCAATCTCTTCCTGTACCAGTCAGATCCGCTTTGATGGTACACAAAATAATAATAATTTAAAATTTTTTTTTAAAAAAAGGTAATAAAAAACTGTTGTTGTTGTTGTTGTTGTTGTTATATGCCATCAAGTCGCTTGCGACTCATTGCGACCCTATGTACAACAGCCCTAAATTCTGCTCTGTCCTGTTTGTTTTCCCAGCAGTCCATGGTACATTCAATACTCTTCTCCAGCACCACAGCTCAAAGGCGTCAATTCTCCTTCTATCCTCCCTAGTCATTGTCCAACTCTCTCATGCAAAACAAGTGATAGCAAAGACCACGGCCTGTATCAGACACACCTTAGTCTCCAGAGAGACACCATTGCTCCCAACATGACTGTATTAAAAATTATCAAACAGAAAATTTAAATAATAATGGCAACTATCAGCAAACTGAATTTATTTCTGAATCAACATTTGTGAAAATACATTCACATAACAAAATAAAGAGCATTTATAAGAACAAAAAACAACTAAAGGAAAATAACTGACTATTCAGTCGAAGTACACTACATATGTTTAGAATATATGTCTAGGACAGCATCTTGGAAATGTAAACTGAAAAACTCAAGACATTTTCCTAAAAAAAATCAAACACTTTAAAATGAATATTAAAAATATCACACAGAAGTAAAACTTCTACAATGCTTGCTGGTCTCTCATATAACATTTTTATAAGAAAAATTGCTAATTTAGTTATCAAGAAAAAAGAGAGAACATTTCTCCAAATGTAAATTGCAGCTATGATATCAGGCTTTAAAATAATAATTTCTATTATTAATATTCATATTCTTCCTCTCCCATCAAGTGAATATTTATTTTCTAATAAGGCATAAAGACTTAACAATAAATTACCTTGGTTGCCTTTTTCACGTATTTGGCATTGTCTTTTTCAATGTCATGCCATGATCGTATAGGTGTCTTCAGTTCATCTCCAACTACCATTCCAGGACCCTGAGTAGCTGGACCACCAATGAACATCATAATATGAGCACCAGTGTTGGGAAAAGTACACTAAAGAGAAAAAAGTGATGATCAAAACTAGCTCAAAGGAAGATATGATATACATTTCAGATAAAAAAATGTTTAGAGGGGAGCTCTGGTGGCCTAGTGGCAAGAAGCTGCACTGCAATCCCAGAGGTGCATGGTTTGAATCCACCAGATGCTCTGCCAGGAAAGGAGGGACAGTCTCCTGTACCAGTCAGATCCAATTTGACGGTACACAGACACACAAAATAATAATAAAATTAAATTAAATTTAAAAAAATGTTTAAAAAAAATGTTTAGATACTCTTAAAGCTTTCTGAAAAACATCATTTCTTTTATTTCCTAAGAAACAAAACAATCCAATGTTCAAAACGAAATTTAAAAATAAGGACATAACACTAATACTACAAAATTCAGACTAGTGTGTATTGTCAGTCACATCTAAAATTAGGAAGATGTTTAAGTTTTACTTTCTATTTTAATTTCAGAGAAACTGTTTCAAAGAGCTACTAAATGATTATTCTTTTAAAAATTCCTATTTCCCATTATCAGTGATGATCTAATGATCCAAGTATGCTAATGTCCTACATTTTAAGCTACACATCAAACCAGGCACACACCAAAACTTCACTAAGGAAAAAACAAAACAGTTCTATAAGGGTCTGTATAGTTTTCACTTACTTGTTCATTCAGAGAAACATTTATTTTCCCATTATAAGTATTTTCACTGTTCACAGAAAAATGACAATCACAAAAAAAAAAACCCCTGCAGATACAAATTTTTAACATGTTTCTTCTGGGTGACCTAGTGGCAAGAAGCTGCAACTGCAATCTCAGAGGTGCATGGTTCGAATCCACCAGATGTTCTGCTGGAGAAGGAGGAAAAAATCACTTCCTGTACCAGTCAGATCTGATTTGACGGTACACACACACAAAAAAAATAATGAAATAAAATAAATTTAAAAAAAAAACATGTTTCTTCTGAAATCCTATTGTAAACAACAGTAGATTCCTAATTTTGAAATAACCTATAAACCTAAGCTCTATAAATAAGCCTCTTTCTCCTTCCAATAACTAGTCCTGGATTGAGAAGAAAAGACAAAATAAGAGAAAGCATCATCTTTTGTTTCTGTTGTGATTATTTTGGTTTTCATGCTTAAAACATAAGCATTACATATACTTTCAATTCAAGCAGATGGACTAAGTACTCCAACCTTTCTTTCTTTCCTCCCAAAATACTAGTGAAGATAAAAGACAGTATTTTTAAAAAAAGAAAAGAGTTTTCACAGCCTATAAAAAAAACCAAAAGTGCAGAAAATTTGAGGAATGCAAACAGATGATTAGATTAGACTGACAAAAGAAGTGAACCAATATATCCCATATACTAAAGGTCAACTAGATCTTCCCACCTGAGAAGCTCCAAATCTGCACACTTGTAGCTAAAAGAAAGATTAATGGATCAAAAAACTACAGTAGGCAGTTAATGGCTACCAAGAACTGCTCTATGTAGAAAGCGAGTGCAGAGAAGTTCCTTAGCCCAGAAATTGAATGCTGAGGGAGGATGAATAGAATTGGTTACAGTAAACATCAGAGGAAACAGGACAAGTCTTTAGCGTTTCTGTAATTTAAAACACTGATAAAAAAATTCTATAATTATTTTGTGTGATTATTTGAGGAACATAGAGATTGCACTTCCATTATTATTAAGTGTTTTTCTCAGGTCTTAAAGATTGCTGGAAGTTGAAATGATGGACTAAACATCTTTTACCTATCAGGGCAGGCTTTGTTTTGATCATGGAAAACTATTAAAGGCATGAAGAATCTGAGTTTTGATGCTTCTAATGGGACAAGGTTTTGGGGGGGGGGGGTTGGGGGGGAGGTTTTGGGGGGGGTTAATTCATTTCAATGAACATTTACAGAGATTTTGGATTTCCATTCATTCATTGTTGCACTTTTCTCCCCGCCCACCTCACCCCCACCCCCAGTTCACTCTTCTCTGAAAAGTCAAAGAAACATCATAAACGTTCACAGAATGGAAAGAGTAATGACAGTACTGTGGCATCAGGCTACTAGCTCCTCCAAATTGATGAGAAAATTAGTTCCTTGAAAGTTTATTTTGCCTTTTATATGTGATAACCGAGTCAGGATCATTGTTTTTTCAATAAACACACTAATAAAAATAGAATTTCAATAAACTTTTGGGGAAAATGAATATATGAATATATATATATATATATATATATATATATATATATGAAGTAAAGAAAGAGGAGAGGAAAAGCGAAAGATGAAAAGATAAAGCATTACACATACACACACAGATATAACTATATATGTTGTGGTTATGTACTGTCAAGTTGGAACCGACTCATAGCTGATCCGTCAGTGGGTTTTCAGAGGCAGTAAACTATACAGGCGAATGCCTATCCTGAGGAGCAGTTGGTAGATTCAGACTTTGTGCCTAACTCCTAATCACTAAGCCACCAGAGCTCCCTGTATACATACACATATATACATGTAAAGGGAGTTCTGGGAGCCTAGTGCTGAGAATTGGGCTGCAATCCCAAAGAGTCAAAATTCTCAGCCACCAACTGCCCAGTAGAATATAGATGGAAATCTCCTCCTGTGCGATTTACTGCCTCTGAAAACCTGCTGAAAAGTAAGCTATGAGTGAGGTCCAACTCAACAGCACACAACAGCAACAATACAGATGTAAAATCTGGTGGCTCAGTCCCCCAGATGCACTAGGGAGCTTCACTGTTAACCAAAGGCAGTGCCTCTCCAAAGGTACAAATCCACCAGCCACTCTTCAGGAGAAAGATGGACAATCTCCTTCCATGTGATTCAGAGCCTCAGAAACCTACTGGACAGTCAGCTGTGAGTTGGTTCCAACTCTACAGCAAGAAGTCACACTGAGTTGAGGTAAAGTAAGAGGTATATTCTTTGAACCATTCTTGCAAATTTTCTAAAAAATAAAAGAAAAATAAACAGTAACACATCATTATTTGATTTGTGAATCAATGGTGACTCGTGGGAAGCCTGTATGTATAGAGTAAAACTTATCTATAGGATTTTCAAGGCTGCGATCTTTTGAAAATAGAGTCAGACCTGCCTTCTGAGAGGCACCTCTGAGTGGTGTTATTAGGCTAACAACCAAATGCTTGACCATTTGTACCACTCAGAGAATCTAGTAACAGATTATACCTCAGAATATAATACTAATTAGTTCACAGAGAAAGTAATAAATAAAAGAATAAAAGGAAAGTTTGAGAAGGTACAGGATATTGACAGTTTCAAAGATCCTCACATACAATGCTTTATTACTTACAAAGGATGGAGGGAATGTAATTCTATAATAAGAAACTGACTTCATGGCGTGGTCAAAATCAGTATCACCAGGAGTGCTACAAATGACAATTGTGGGTTATCTCATACACTGCAGTAAGAACACATTACTTCTCTGACACTTGTGCCAATGATGCCGGCTTGACTCAAATCATGAAGACATGCCAGGAAAATCCAAATCAAAGGACAAAAGAACTGACTTGAATTATTCAAGGTACTAAAGTCATAAAGGTCAAGAGTTCCAGAGAGAAGATAAAAAGATTTAACTGCTAACTAACTGCAATGCATGTTTATGAAATTAATCCTTTTAATAAAAAAAAATTATTAGGACAAGTGGCAAAGTCTAAATGGTGGAGTCTGAGCACGAGAGAGTACTACTGCTCAACAGAGGTTGTGGGGATGGTGCAGGGTCTCACAAGGCTTCCATCTGTTGTACATAAGGTGGCTCTGGGTCAGAGTCGACTAGACAGTACCTAACAACTGCCTCAGAGTTAATGGTTAGGCTTTAACAGTTGTGGTGTGTACAACATCCTGCTTTACAGGAAATACAGCTGAAGTACTTAGGGTACAAAACATTATGTCCGCAATTTAATTTCAAACAGTTCAGGGAAAAAAAATGTTCTTTGCAGAATATCTGGAACTTTTCTGTACATTCTATATTATTTCAAGTTTTAAAAAAATTTATTTTTAAAAAACTCTTCTAATTAAGAAGCTAAGATAAAAATGGAGTGTAAAAATTCTAATTCTTCTTTTTTTAAAACTTCCCAAATCCAACCACTAGAAAAAGTAGGAGGACTATCCTTCCAAGTCCTCTCTCTCTCTGCACAAAAAAAGATAACAGAACTTTTTAGAAGTACAATCATATACTCACTGATTTGATTTCTTTCACTCAACATTCCCTTGTATATACTATTGCACGTGCGCACAAACACACACACCCCTATATTCCAGAAAAGAAAAACCCATCTTTTCCCATTACCTACTTCAAGCAACCCTACAGCTATGGAAAGTGCCACACCAGAGGAGCGCAAAGGTCTCTTTCCCTGTGGGACAGGCCAAGGATCTCGCTGAAGTTCTCCCAGTAGATCTGTGAGATTCATGTCTATTTTTTGCACTGGCTGTAAGAATCTACAAAACAAAACCAAATAAAGTATCATTTAAAGTATTTGTGGATTAAGGTTCTATTTTCTATTACGTGCAAGAGTTAGGGTTAAAAAGTTAAATGGCAGCAAGCTCTGGTGGCCTAGTGGCAAGAAGCTGCACTGCAATCCCGCAGGTGTGTGGTTCAAATCCACCAGATGCTCTGCTGAAGAAGGAGGAACAATCTCCTCCTGTACCAGTCAGATCTGATTTGATGGTACACACACACAAATAATAAAAAAAAAGTTAAATGGTGAAATAAAACTGAGTTATGTTAAAAAAAGTTAAATGGCTTATTTTCTTAAAAATAAAGTAAAATTCTCAGTTTGAATTCACCAGATGCTCTGCTGAAGAAGAAGGGGCAATCTCCTCCTGTACCAATCAGATCTGATTTTAGGGTACACACAAAAAAAGTAAAAATTTTTTTTAAAAAAGGTAAAATTCTTCCAATGCACTATGAGTTCATGGGTCTTAAAATTTAGTATAATCACAATTGGCTGGAAGGCTTGTTTAAAAACAGACTACTGGTCTCCAGTAGTAGGTCCTCTGAGGAGGACCTGAAGCGCTTGCTGCAGAGGGTCAAGGACTGTAGGCTCCAATATGGACTGAGGTTCAATGTCAAGAAGACAAAGATTCTCACCACTGGACCAATTGGCAGCATCAGGATGGATGGTGAAGAGACTGAGATTGTTCACAGCTTTAGTTTGCTTAGCTCCACAGTCAACACTCTTGGCACCAGTAGCCAGAAAATTAAAAGGCGTATTGCCATGGCAAAGTCTGCTGTTAAGGGACCTCTCCAAAGTACTGAAGAGCAATGGTATCTCTTTGGAGACTAAGGTGCATCTGATACAGGCCATGGTCTTCACAATCACCTGTTATGCATCAGAGAGTTGGACAATGACCAAGGAGGACAGAAGGAGAATTGATGCCTTTGAGCTGTAGTGCTGGAGAACAGTACTAAGAGCACCATGGACTGCTAGGAAAACAAACAGATTCATCCTGGAAAGGGTTAAACTGGGTGGCTCCTTGGAGACAAGGATTCTGAGGCTCCGTGTAACATACTTTGGACATGTTGTAAGGAGGAACCGGTCCTTAGAGAAGGACATCATACTTGGGAAGGTGGAGGGACAGCGCAGGAATGGAAGGCCCTCTATGAGGTGGAATAATTCAGTGACTGGCACAGGACAGAGCAGATTTTAGGGCTGTTGTACAGAGGGTCGCTATGAGTCACAAGCAACTTAACAGCACATAACAACAATTGGTCTCCACCTTCTAGAGTTTCTAAGTCTGAGTTGGGTCCCCATGAAATGTGGATGCTACTGTGAACTGCTCAAAAGAGAACACATAATCAAGTACTACTTGATAACATAATCTTTCCTTGACCAATCTAGTAAACTTTAAAGCTACTTGTATTAATTATGAGAAGATACATCAACACAGTTTTAGTGCTATCATCTCTGATAAGGAAGAATACGGAAAGATACTTCTGAGGTTAGCTGGGCAAGAAGTGTTTGAGGTCTGCTTTTGCTTGGCTGCCTTCCAACCACAAAAATGACATTTTTCTGAACCTAAAGGTTCAGAATCAGTTATGTATCAAAATGTAAAGTACTCTTTTTTTGTATTAATGATGATCTAAACATTTCATTGACATGATTCAGCCTCAACTCTTTAAAAAGCAGTACTACTACAATTATGGGATTGATCATGGTAGAGATCATGACAATGGTGCAGGACAGGGGAGGGTTCCAAACTGATGTTTATGGGATGGGTACAAATCACTGTCAATGAGGCCTAACAACAATGCAACACTGCATTCTAGTTCTATTTCCGGAAATATTTAACAATAAAGTATTCCCAAATGCCAAGGTATGGAATGCTTGAAATAGCTGCACGAATCGTAAAGTTCTCCCTGCTAAATTCAAATATTACCTATTCGAAGGAGGTGGCTGCTGCACTTGAGGACCACGTGTTGCTTGAGTAACAGGTACCTTTGAGAGGCCAAGCATTTCCTGTAAAGAGAATCTGTGTTATATTTATTTAGTTACTTGTAAAAAGATTAACAGATTTTCATGAGCAAGTGTTAGACCCAGAATTAGAAACACAAAAATAAAGAACACAAGGCCTTTTTCCTCAGATGGTAAACAGTCTAGTTAGGGGAGACTGTCAAACAACAATGAAGAAAATAATCACTATGAAAGAGCAAGGTGTTCTGTGGGCAAAGGAAATGGTAGATGGGTACTAGCTCCAGGAATATTTTATTTATACTCACTCACTGGTGACCCTATAGGTTTTCAAGTGGCTATAAAACAGATAGGGAGTTCTAGTGGCTTACTGGTAAAGAATGGCACTAGGAACACAAAGGTATGCAGGTGAAATCCACCAACTGCTAAAAAGGATAAGGATGGGCAATCTCATCCTGTGTGATTTACTGCCTCTGAAAACCTGCTGGAGAATCACCTATGAGCTGGTCTGACTCCACGGTATACAACAACAATAAAATGAAACTGATGGCAAAACAAAATTTGAAGTCTTTGTTACAATAAAATTGCATTAGTCATTCATAATATAATATAGGGATATTGTAGCTAATGTTAGATGGATCTTGGCTGAAAGCAGGGAATACCAGAGGAATGTCTGTGTTTCATTGACTACGCAAAGGTGTTTGACTGTGTGGATCACAACAAACTGTGGCTGACTCTGAGAAGAATGGGATCTCAGAACACTTGATCGTGCTTATGGGAAACCTATACTTGTACCAGAAGGCAGTCTTCAGAACAGAGCAAGGAAAACACTGCATGGTTCAAAATTGGGAAGGGTGTATGCCAGAGATGTTTTTAATCTATATGGAGAAAACATTATCCAGGAGGCTGGGCTCTACCAGAAGAAATGTGGCATCAGGATTGGAGGAAGATTCATCAATAATGTGCATTGTGCAGATGACACAACCCTGCTTGCTGAAACTGAGGAAGACCTGAAGCGCTTGCTGCAGAAGGTCAAGGACTGTAGTCTTCAATATGGATTGAAACTCAACATCAAGAAAACAAAAATTCTCACCACTGGGTCAAGTGGCAGCATCATAATAGAGGTGAAGATACTGAGATTGTAAAGAGCTTTAGTTTGCTTGGCTCCACAGTCAATACTCTTGACACCAGCAGCCAGGAAATTAAAAGACTAATTGCATTGGGAAAGTCTGCTGTTAAGAGATGTCTGAACAGTACCGAAGAGCAACGAAGTCACTCTGGAGACTAAGATGCACCTGATAACAGGCCATGGTCTTTGCAATCACTTTCTATGCGTCAGAGAGCTTGACAATTACTATAGATGAGAGAAGGAGAATTGATGCCTTTGAGCTGTGGTGTTGAAAAGGAGTACTGAATGTACCATGGACTAAGAACAAACAGGTTCATACTTGAGAGGATTAAACCAGGCTGCTCCTTGGAGGCAAGTATTCTGAAGCTTCATCTGACATACTTTGAACATGTCGCAAGAAGGTACGAGTCCTTGGAGAGGGACATCATGCTTGGGAGGGTGGAGGGACAGAGCAGGAGAAAAAGACCCTTGATGAGATGGACTGACTCAATGACTGGGGTAATGGAGGTAGGTGTGTCAGAGACAGTAAGATTGGCACAGGATAGAGCAGGGTTTAGTGCTGTTGTACACAGGGTCACTATGCATCTCAGACAATTTGATGGCAGATAAAAACAACAATAACATAATCAGAGGCATTTATTGGCATAGAGATGCTGACAGAGATCAGAGCTACCATTTTTATTGTTTGGTTATTTACCTGTAGTTGTTTGGCAGACAGATCTTTTGTTCCCCTGAAGACATAGCTTTTTGAAATGCCCTCACATCCAAGTTCATGAACCTGTACCATTCTTCCAAAAGTAATAAGTCCAACCAAAGCTGTTGGTGGTAAAAGACTTAAAGACATCTGCATGGATTCCTTGAGGGCTTGTAAATCTTCATCCTCCATACAAGTATCAACCACATAGAGGAAGATCAAAGGCATCTGAGGCCCACGCTATTAAAAGAAAATTAATTAATAGGAAAAAATAAGTTGTTTTGTTTTTTTTTAAAAAGATTTTTTTTTTAAACTTTATTATTTTTGTGTGAGTGTACCATCGAATCAGATCTGACTGGTACAGGAGGAGATCGTTCCTCCCTCCTCCGGCAGAGCATCTGGTGAATTCGAACCGTGCGACTCTGGGATTGTAGTTACAGCTCCTTTCCATTAGGCCACCAGAGCTCCCGAAAAAATACGTTTTTAAATAAACACAGTAACAAACACTTCACAATATACAAGAATAGCAAAGAGAAAACTAACTAAATAATTTAAAACATATACAATGGAATTCTAAAAGTCATTTCAGAAAGAAAGCAATTCTACCATCTGTGATTAAGATATATCCAAAGCATAACACTGTTAAGCGAAAAAATATGGTTACAAACTCTATATAGAAGATATTTTCACCTCATTTTATTTAATTTTAATTCCTTGAGGGCTCATTAAGTATGACAAGTATTTTTTAATTATTATTTCAAAATTAAGAAAGCAGCAAATACGTATTTTAAAAGAAAATGAAGTAATTTTTACGAAATAAGCATCTAAGTCTAAAATTTATACTGGGAAAGGTCAGCAAAAGATAAAAGACCCTCAGGAAAATAAAAAAGATAAAAGACCCTCAATAAGGTCAGTGAAAGAGAGGAGACCCTCACTAAGATGGAATGACACAGTGGGCTCAACCACATTTAACAAAGCGTTCAAGAATGACAGAGATTGTGAGAACGGTGGAACAAGACAGGGCTCCAACCTATTGTTTATAAGGATGCTATGAGTCAACTAGATATCACTGAAGAGTAAAAAACCAGATTTTCAGAGAACTGATCAGGTTGGACTACCTCAAGAGACTCACAATTCTGTTTACTTTGCAGCATTCATAAAGGATGTTATTCTTTCTAGATTTTAAATGTATTGACACCTGTGGGAAACTATCCAGAGAAAGGAAAGAAATAGTTTTTCTAACAGAGATCAACACAAAAAAGATTTCATAAGCTATACTCAGGGATATAACAGCAGGCTTCACTATAATCCTGACATGTCATGTTTGTGGGCTGACCTTCTAACTACAAAGTAAAAGTGATACTTTATTGATCTACTCATTAGAAAAGATCATACCACTCTACCTAGTAAAATTCTGACCATCAAATACCTATAAGAGATTACGCAAATTGACCTTGGCAGTTATTATCTTTTTCATGTTCTACTAATTTGATTTAAGAAATAAAGACAATGCCTTTAAGATCTTATAAATTCATAAATTACTTATCGGATGAACTTTCTTAATTTTTTTTTTTTTTATGTTCTTACCAGAACGACATATTCAATGCTGGAAAACTGAGGTAAAAGTTCAGCTGGTTGATTCAATTCATATATGCCAGCATAAGTAGGTGGAAACTACAAAGAGAAAAAAAAATTTCTAACAAACCATTTGCCAGAGAGAGCAATAAAATTCTAAAGCAATTCTAATTCCGGCTCATTCTATGATTTCAAAACTGGGTATTTTCACCATATTAGAAATCGCTGTTTTATCTTTCTTTCAAATATGCTTTTTAAATTTTTTTTTATACTAACTTTTACTGGAACAGAGTTTAGTAACTACTTTTTTTAAAACATTGAAAAACTTTTCATTGTTGCACATTTTCCTCCCCTTCCCAAGCCCCCCCCCCAGCAATGCATGCCTTGTTGCAAACTGTTCTCCTATACATAATGCCTACTCATATAATCCTTTCTGACAGTTCTTCCCCTCATCGGATCTAATGCAGTGTCCATTCTTTTCCCTTTCTCTCGCCAATAGCCCCCAAGTCTGTCCTATTTTATATCAGCAGTGGTATGAAGTATTTGTCCTTTTGTGAGTGATATATTTCACTCAGCATAATGGCCTCCAGGCTTCCCCATTCTGTGTAATGTTTTACGAGTTCATAGTTTTTCAATGCTGTGTAATAATATTCCACTATGTGAATGTACCATAGTTTCGCTATGAATTCATTTGTTGATGGGTACTTGAGTTTCTTCCATCTCTTTGCTACTGTGAATAATGCAGAAATAAACACGAGTGTGCATACACCTGTTCGAGTCATGGCTCTGGATTCTTTAGGATATATTTCCAGTAATGGAATTGCTGGGTCAAATGATATTTCTATATCACCATCTTCATTAGTGGCTATGCCAAGTAACTATATTTTTAAAAAAATATTTTCAAAGATATCTTATAATTTATTATATTTTGAAAGAGCTGCTAACATTCTCTCAAACCTTCTTATTCATTTTTTTAATTTTATATTGGTATGCATACAAAATTCATATCTGTTGTGTTTCATTCATGTACACTATCTTTCATTCATGTACACACTCCTTCATTGACTGTTTCATAAGATCACTCCCATGCATTGTGCTTTATAAAATTAATCACCATTCATCTATGCCCACCATCACTCCACTTTTTTAAAGTCTCAACTTAGTATTTCCTAATTCCTTCAACTCTTCCCACCAAACTCTGCAGCCCGTGATTTCCCACCTGCCCTTTCCCCTCTTGTTCCCCCTTCATACCTGTATACACATACTACTAATTATGCTTCACTGGCAATAAAAGAGATGCAAATCAAAACCACAATAAAATACCATCTCATCCCAGTAGCAGTAACAATCTTTACAGGATAGCAAGCAAAACATTTTGGAGAGGATGTGGAGACACTGAACTCTCATATACTGTTGGTGGGATTATAAAATGGTACAACCAATCTGGAAGGCTGTTTGGCATTTCCTCAAAAAGCTGAACACAGAAATTTCATATAACTCAGATATTCCACTGCTAGGAATATACCCCAAGGAAAATAGAACTAAGACACAATATTTGAGACAGTATTATTCACAATGGCAAGAACACAGAAACAGCCTAAATGTCCATCAACAAATGAATGGATTGAGAAATTATGATACAGTCACATAATGAATTACTATGTAATATTCAGGAGCAGCAATTTTGTAAAATATTATGTAACATGGGAAAGGCTAGTAACTACATTTGTGTGACAAGAGTTGTACGTTCAACACAGAATTCTTACCTGATTCCTTTGGTAACAAAAATTGCAAGCCCAGAGTTTTGCTCGATAATCCACTTGGCTAATTTTAGAGGGGAAAAAATAAACAAATTTATTAGTTCAGATTTTAGTTCAAAATTTAATCAATTAACTTCTTCCCCAAACATTAATACAATCAAATTTATTTCCAATGTGATCACTTTTAAAAGTCATTTTTTTAAAAGTCATATCTTTTTATATGCTCCAATATCTAATCTTTAGCACATACTCACTCCCCTAAATAATGAATCTACATTATGGCTTTTAATATGTAGCAAATATAAAAAATATTAAAGTAATCTTATTTTCCCCTTCAAATGAATTTAGTAATATCTATACTTATATCTAGGAAACCGATTCATCCCATAAAAAAGATATTTACTGAATGCCTAATAAGTCTTTCTCAGTCTCACTGCTACAGAGTCGATTCTGACTCATAACCACCCTCCACGAGGTTTCCATGGCCCTAAATCACAAAGAGAGGAAAATGCCCATCTCTCTCCAGCAGAGTAGATGGTGGAATTTACCTGCGGGAGACACGCAACCTTTGCATCAGCAATACAACATGCAATGGGCCCGAGTTCCACCTGATATGTACCAGCCATTATCCCAGGTGCTGGCATAGACTATACAGAGTTGTACTGCTCACCCAAAGGTAACACCTCTTTGCCAGTTCCAGTAACAAGCTACTCTGCAGGAGAAAGATGGGCAATCTCTGCCCGTGTGATTTTACAGGCTCCCAAATACCCCTTGAAAATCTGTGATGAGTAGGTGCTGACTTGACAGCAATGAAAGAGAGAAAGTGATAAAGCAATGAATAAGACCAAAAGGTTCCTGCTCCGATGAAGCTTACAGTTTACAAAGGAATAATAGACAACAGATAAAAAGATGTATAAACATACAAGATAAATTAGTAAGAGATAGTAAAAATGGAAAATGATATACACATAGATCAACAATACCTAATTATATAAAATATAATGTATATGAATGATTGCATAAAACACCATACTGAATATCATTCAAAAACAGCTAAAACAGTACATAGACAGGGAAATGCCAGAAGTTCAAGTAGAATTTAGGAAGGGATACTACTGCTGATGCCAGATGGATTCTGTCTGAAAATAAATACCAGAAGAAAGTCTATTTGTACTTTATTAACTATGCAAAGGCATTCAACTGTGTGGATCATGACAAATTGTGACTGACACTGAGAAGACTATGCTCATGCAGAACCCATATCTGGACCAGGAAGCTACTGTGCGAACAGAGTAGGGGAACACAACATGGTTTAAAATTAAGAAGGGAGTGCATCATTGTTGTGTTCTCTCACCACACCTGTCTAATCTGTATGCTGAGAAAATTTTTTGAGAAGCTAGACTCTATGAAAAGAAATGTGGCATCAGGATTGGAGACCCATCAATAACTTACATTAAGTAGATAACACAACACTGCTTGCTGAAAGTGAGGAGTACTTGAAGCACCTATTGTAGAAAATCAAGGAAGGTAGCCTTTGGCATGGACTGTGTCTCAATATCAAGGAAAAAAAAATTCTTACCACTTAACTGATAGGCAACGTCATAATAGATGGAGGGGAGATTGAAACTGTCAACAGCTTCATCTTACATAGGTCCACAATTAACACCCTTGGTACGAGCAGTCAGGAGATAAGAGAACGCACTGCATTGGGAATACCTGCAGTTAGAAACCTCTCCAAATTACTGAGGAGTAATGAAGTCAGTTTGAAGATCAAGATGCATCTGATTCAGGCCATGGTCTTTCCGATCACTTGCTATGCATCTGAGAGCTGGACAATGAATAAGGATGAAAGAAGAAGAATTGATGCCTTTGAGTTGTGGTGTTTGAGAAGAGCACTGAACATCCCATGGACAGCCAAAAGAATAAACAGTTATGTCTTGGAGAGGGTGCAGCCAGAGTGCTAAAGGTTAAGAATGATGAGGCTTTCTTTGCCTCATACTTTGGCATGCTGCTAGGAAAGGCAATTCTTTGGAGAGGGGCATGATGCTAGGAAGGGTGGAGGGTCAGCAAAAGAGAGGACCCTCTAGGGGTGGAGTGGCACGGTCACTGCTCCAATGGTCTTTTGTGTGTCAGGAAGTATGAGGATAGAACAGGAGTCAGATCTCTTGTTCATAGGGTCATTATGAGCCATACTCAACTTGATGGCACCTAGCAACACATCAACATAAGAATGAAATACAATGTTTATGAATGATCACATAAAATGCAATGTACAGGAATGAAACACAAGAAATAAAGAGTTTGTAAACAAATCAAGAACAAAAATGCTTTCTAAAAAATAAAAAAAGAAAGATGGAAGAAGATTAAAGAGAGTCTAAGAAAGTTCAGGAGGAATATCTTAACACGTTGTTATGTACCGTTGAGACTGAACTAATTCCAACAGGTTTTCAAAGGCAGGAAATCACATTGGAGGAGACTGCCCATCTTTCTCCTGCAAAGCAGCTGGTAGATTACAACCATGTGCCTTTTGGTTGCAAAACAATTCCTTACCACTAAGTCACCAGAGCTACCATGGTTGTTGGGAGGCCATAGCTAATGGGAGGACTCCTTAACTGGATAGTTGAATGGACCTGAATAAGAAGGAGCCAGAAGGGAAAAATCTTAGAGCTGAGAAATCATGTAGACTCGTTAATTACTATACAAGTTTCAAGGTAAGAATAAATGTGATATGTTCAAGGACCTAAAAGAGTGCTCTAAGGACAAAGTGCAATTGTATGAGAATAAAGAAAACAGTACAAGATGGAAGCAGAAATAACGAGGCTAGATCAACAAGACGTTATACATCTTGATGAGGGAGTCTGAATTTTTCATTCCAAATATAACAGAAAGTTACTGATTCCTAAGATTTGGGCTTATAAAATAAAAGGAAGCTACAGAATTTTCATACACCATGCCTCTTGATTAAGAATTTCCTAATCACACACACTGGGCTGCTACAAAGCTAGCACTGGTGAACACTGATAATCCAACAGTACTTTTCTTTCCTAGAATATAACAGTCTTTATAGTGCCAATCCTGCATTTGGTCTCTTTATATTGATTATTCACTCACTACAACTAGTAAGTTTCTGAAATTGTACTGCTCTTTGGATTTCCCACTGTCCTCATTGTGACAGTTTTACATAAATGAGCAAAAAGAACACTATATTTTGAAACTCATAACACATTAGTATTTTCCTGTATTTTTAATTACCATAAAGGATTCAAAACTGCACGGCAAGTGGTCCTACTACAGAGAACAGGCTCATATTGAATGGGAGGTAAGTCAGGTCTCTCCTTGAGGGGTGTAAATAGAGTTGCCACTGGAACAACCATTCTCGTAGCTTCCAGTCGACTTGATGGCCAAACGTTCCAGCTAAATCGAACCCCATCTCGTTCTTCATTTTGTTGAATAAATTCCAAATAGGTTGTCATCATAAAGTTTGTTTCTTATCTATAACAAAATAAAAAGTTATTTACAAAAACATCTAGAAATTGATTAAGATAATACAGAACAAATTTGGTTATCCTATTTTCAGCAATATCAACTAGTAAAGAATTGTGGCCAAATTAAACTATTTCTCTTCAAAAATTTTAAAAAGCAGCAATAATCCTACTTAATACATATTTAAGGGCTCTCCACACCCAATATCCACTAGGCCCACTAAGACATTGTATTCTTTGAAATCATAAAAGCAAATACAATACTATATATTATCTTAAAACTATAGTAAGAAAATTCAATACTAACAAAAAAGATACACAGCAGTTGTACAGAATGCTTACGTATAACAAAATGTCTTTCAGGAAGAGTTTTTTTGGTTCAAAGTTGTAGGGTCATGGTTTCAAGGGTCTTCCCAGTCAATTGTCCAAATAATTTTTATAAGGTTTTTGTTCAAACTCCTAGTTCAGTAAGCAGTAACTGAGGTTTTAAAAGCTTTTGAGAAGTCACTCAAGACATCATAATTGATCTCTAGTCACTTAGAATAGAGGAAAATGGAGCCAGAAATGAACTAGAGATCTCACTGCCTCTATAAACTATTATGGCCAGCACCAGAAGAGTTCTGGCTACCATTACTGAATATTTTGATCAATGATCCAACAGAGGGATCTTTGATCAAAAGGACGAAAAATAAGGACATTAATTTCAAATTCTTATAGAAACTAGATTTATAGACTCACTGTGATGGAGGAAAGCCCCAAACATATTACTACAATAATCTTTAATCTTTAATCTTTAATCAAAACTATCCCATAAAGTCACCTTTAAAAAATAATTTAGCTCGTATAGTGAAGAACACATGCCTGTCCAAATCTCTCCAGCAGAAAGGCAATCTTATGACATGACATTTACAGCCCCTGAAAACCCTGTGAAGTGTTAGCTATGAGTTAGTTCTGACTTGACAGTGCACAATAACAACAACAGTAAAGTATGCAGGGAGCTCAGGGAGCTTGGTGGTAAGGAGCTACACCACCAACCCCAAAACAGCAGTTTTAATCCACCGGTGGCTTCACGGGAGAAAAATGAGCAATCTCTTCCTGTGCAACTTACAGAGTCTGAAAACCTGCAGGAGAGTCTGCTATGAGTCAGTTTCAAATCATAACAACAGCACATAAGAACAACACAACTATAAAAAATTCAGAGCATTCTTTTAAAGTGATAGCTAGGTGAGAATAAACAACCGTTAACTCTAAAAGCAGAGAAATCCAGGGAACAGAGAGACTACGCTAATGGTGATCCAATGATACAGGCAAAAAGAGCAAGAAGAGTAAAAGAATGCAAAGAATGCAACCGGAATTATACCTGCAAAAAATGTTGAAAGGATGTATATTTTGTTATGCAGATTTCTAACAAAAAAAATTTTTTTTCAAAATTTCATTCTTTGTTATCACTCCTGAAAATTATAGTGAAGAATAAATAAGATCCTATTTATTTGTGGACATATAGGAAACAAAGACAAAAATAAATAATATGATTCTGTTGTTACTGTTAGGTGCCGTTGAGTCGTTTGCAACTCATAGCGACCCTTTGCACAACAGCCCTAAACCCTGCTCTACGCTGTTCCAATCGCATTGCCTCAGACACACCCATCCCGATTACATATCATATATTGTTGTGGTGTGCCATCAAGTCAGAACTGACTCACAGCTGACCCTCCAGCAGGTTTTCAGAGGCTGTAACTCTCAAGGGAGGAGATTGCTGATCCATCTCCCATGGAGCAACAGGAGGATTAAAACTGCCTGGTTTTTGAGACTGTAGTGCAGCTTCTAGCCAGTAGACCACCAGAGCTCCCTAGCATATATTAGTCCTGTAAATTGCACTTCTCTAGAAAACATATTCTCAGAAACATAAACCACTAAAAACTCATAAAGTTTTTTACTCAGACAATGACAAATTTCCACCAAAACTAGAAGGAAATATTTAACGTTATACATAACAAAAAAGATCTTCCTAAAAGGCAGAAGATTAAAAACTATACTCTTCAATATGGATTGCATGTCAAAATCAAGATGCCAAAACTCTTACCACTGGGACCAATAGGCAACATCATAATAGATGGAGAGAAGATGGAAATTGTCAAAGACTTCATTTTACTTGGATTCACAATCAATATGCTTAATAGTTAAGAAATCAAAAAGGGCATATTATATTGGGAAAGTTGGTTATCAAGGACCTCCTCAAAATATTAAGGAGCAATGGTGTCAGTTTAAAGACTAATATGTTCATGATTCAGGCCATGGTCTTTTCAAGCACTTGTTATGTATCTGAGAGTTGGACAATGAATAAGAATGACAGAAAATCTGTATCTTTGAGTTGTGTTGTTGGAGAGGAATAATGAATATTCATCCCACGGACTGCCAAAAGAACAGGTATGTCTTAGGGAAAGTGCCTTAGAGGCCAGGATGGTGAAAGCTTAGTCTCACATACTTTGGCCATGTTGTTAAGAGAGGCTATTTCTTAGAAACATTATGCTTAGAAAGGTGGAGGATGGCCAATGAGAGCAGAAGACCCTCACCCAAGATGGATCGACACAGTGACTGCAACAACAGGCTCACATATATATCAGAGATAATGAAGAAGGCACAGATTAGGACAAGGTTCACATGTGTTGTTAATACGGTAGGTATGCATCATATTTGACTTGATGGCACCTAACAACAACAAAGTACACAAGAAAACTTTGTATTATTTTCACTATATTTCTATGTATCTAAAATTATCACAAAATAAAAAGTAGAACCCTTAAGACTACAGCTCTTAGTCATCCTCTGAACCTGGAGCAAAACTCTATGGGTTAATTGTTGTTGTTGTTGTTGTTGTTGTTGTTGTTGTTCTGTGCCATCAAATCGCTTACAACTCACAGCGACCCTATGTACAACATCCCTAAACTCTGCGCTGTCCTGTGCCAATAGCACTGTCTCTGACACTCCCATCCCGATTACCTCAGTCACTGAATCAATCCACCTCATAGACAGCCTTCCTCTCCTGCGCTGTCCCTCCACCCTTCCAAGCATGATGTCCTTCTCCAAGGACCGGACCCCCCCTTACAACATGTCCAAAGTATGCTAGATGGAGCCTCAGAATCCTTGCCTCCAAGGAGCAGCCCAGTTTAACCTTCTCCAGGCTGAATATGTTTTCATTTATGTCATAAAATGTTTAGAAGCCTTAATGAAAAGTCAGCATGTTTTATAAGTTTTTATTTAAATCAAAACTTTTTAAAAAAATTTCCTCAGATGTGCCTCCTCTGGTTTAGACAGGTAATAATTTATTGTGAAAATATAGGATACTTATGCAAAATAAATAAAATACCTGTAATTTAAAAAGTGAAATTCTCTGTTATATGCATAATCACTACCTTCTTTTGCAGAAAATCAATTCAGGATATTTTTTTAACATTGTAATTTATGGCAGCATTTTAAATTGTAATTCAAGAGGTTCAGTGTAATAATTTAAACTCAATAGCAAATGGAGAGGTGGTCTGGGGCTGCAGTGGCTGAGTACTTGACTGCTAATGAAAAGGTTGGCAGATCAAAACCACTAACCTCTGTAAGAGAGAAAGATGAGGCCACATCTTTAAAGAACCTGGGTATCTAAGAACTTTTCTTCTTTAATAAAAATTGGGGGGGAACATGTATTTCTTAGTTTAGCATGTCAGAATCCCTAAAACACCAAAATAAAACTGTGTAATCAAGAGGTCATGGATTTTTCTAGAGTGAATAAGCAGTAGAAAAATTCTAAACAAAGACTAAGAATGGTGGAAAAGGCTATCTTGAAGGTAAATATTGCAGGCAACTTTGATAAGGATAGTATGAAGTCTCAAAGAAAGTGGCTACTGCAGTATAACGACAAAGCAAAGGTCTAGTTTAAGCAGCCTCAGTTCTAACTCAACAGCAGTAAATAAAGGGAAGAAATCCATTTCAGTTCTATCTCAAGAAGCAGTATGAGAGAAACAACCTTATCTGGGAGAAAAACCTAGCTTCTAATAACAGCTTCCATTCTACAGATGTGAATAGAAATGCCAGGACCATGCAATATGTTTCATTATTCTCACAGGGTATAACGCAAATTATGTTATCTGCTTATTACATCTACAATGAAAATGCACCTCTGTGGGACATCAGCAAAAGCATTACAATACCTACAATGCAGGACAGGAAAACCTTGGATGTGATGGATTGACACAATAACTGAGGTAATGGAGGTAGGTGTCTCAGAGACAAAAGAGACTAGCTCAGAATAGAGCAGGGTTCAGAGCTATATAATAACTATGAGTTGCAGGTGATTCGACAGCACATAACAACAACAACATCTACAACATACTAACCAATCAGGCTTCACATAAACCACAAAAAATGCTCCCAGTGACTATTTTCTCCCAACACTGATAGTACCGAGGTATATAGCAATTTCTCAAAAACTAAATATTTAACAATATTTGCTGTCAATGGTAACATCTGAGCTTTTAAATAAAACAAAATTTTTGAAAACTTGTATCCCTTACCCTGAGCTTGACATGTACACACTGTAAGGATTTTTTTTTCTGCCGAGATCAGTGACAGTATAAGTGAATGTGATAGATAGATAGATAGATAGATAGATAGATCGAGATAGATAGAGAGATAGATAGATGATAGGTATAGTATAAACAAATACATCAACAATAAAAAGAAACACATTTTGTTTTGCAGTGAAACAGTCCCCAAATGATCAGGTCATGATGTTATAATATCATGCATGAGTGAAGTCACATTCAAAGTGCAGGAGAGATCAATGACTTTTAATGTGAGAGGGTACAAAAAGTTCATTTTCAGATTCCACAATACATTTAACCTTTAGTTTCTTAACTAAAAATAAAACTGTGGCATTTTAGAATGGTATCAAAAAAGAATATATACAATCAAAAGAACAAGAATAACTCAAACAAAGAAAGTCTGAGTTTAAAAAAA